AGCTATAACAATGATTTCATGATTGACGTGCAGAATTACAGAGTTGTACAAGTATGCTAATCGCAACTCAGGAAGATAAACTCCTGAGATGCGTGAAAAACGTACTTGTAGAAATTTTTCGTTCAATTTTTAAACTTGCAATTACTTCCAATTGAGCTTATTTAATCTTTGATGACCGTTTTATGTTTCAAATCAACTATTAGAATGTTGTAATTAGGTCCTCCATACTTTGTTTCCCGCTAATTCAAATTTGAATAATCTTCGGTTTGATTTTAAAACTTGTAATTGCTTCCAATTGAACTTATTTAATCTCCGATCAATGTTTTATATTTAAAATCAACTGTTAGAAAGTTTCAAATCAAGTCCCCATACTTTGTTTCCTACCATTTCACATTTGAAAAAATCTTCTTGTTCGATTTTTGAACTTGCAATTGCTTCCAATTGAGCACATTTGATCTTTTATCACCATTTTATGTTATGAATCAACTATTAGAAAGTTGTAATTAGGTCCCCATACTTTGTTTCTCACCATTTCACATTCAAATAATCTTTCGTTCGATTTTTAAACTTGTAATTGCTTCTAATTGAGCCTATTTGATCTTCAATCACCGTTTTACGTTTTGAATCAACTATAAAAAGTTGCAATTAGGTCCCAATACTTTGTTTCCTACCATTTCGCTTTCAAATAATACCCCATTCGATTTTAAAACTTGCAATTGCTTCCAATTGAACATATTTGATCTTCGACACCGTTTTATGTTCTGAATCAATTATAAAAAGATTGTAAATAAGTTCCCCTACTTTGTTTCCTATCATTTCACATTTGAATAACCTTCCATTTGATTTTGAAACTTGCAATTGCTTCCAATTGAGCTTATTTGATCTTCGATCACCGTTTTATGTTCCAAATAAACTATTAAAAAGTTACAATTATGTTCCTATACTTTGTTTCCCGTCATTTCACATTCGAATAATCTTTTGTTTGATTTTCAAACTTGCAATTGCTTCCAATTGAACATATTTGATCTTCAATCGCCATTTATGTTTCGAATCAACTATTAAAAGTTACAATTAGACCCCCGTACTTTATTTCTTGCCATTTCATATTCGAATAATTCTCTATTTGATTTTTAAACTTGCAATTGTTTCCAATCAAGCCTATTTGATGTTCAATCATCGTTTTTCTAGAAAGCGATAATTAGGTTCTCGTACTTTGTTTCCCATCATTTCACAGGTAAATAATCTTTCGTCGACCACTTTCTCCACCACCCCCTTCGGTACCACAGCCTTCACATCTTCTACCACCTTTTCTGGTATCCCCTCTATCACTTCCTCGGCTATTCCAACAGTCACCAGCTCCATTACTCCTTTCGTCCCAGCCACCATTATATCCTCTGTTACACCCTTTTTGTCCTGGGCACTGTAACATCTTAGGTCGGCCCTATGATTACTAGCTCCATAACTATCAGGTCTCTCCCTCCATCCTGAACATTACCAACCCTTTCCTCCTAGGCACTATACGATCCTCCATCTAGGACATCATCGTGGCCATCCCCTTCCAGAAATATAAAAAAAGATTCGAATGTAGAGTCCGATGGCTATGATGAATCATCATACCCTATGTGATCCTCTCCTTTGGTACCTTCGCTATTCTCTCAGTCCCCGAGGACCACCAGTCTCTCCAACACTTGCACTGCTTATCCCTCTATCACCCCCTCATAGCGCTGTGGCCTCATTATGAAAGTTTCCTAAATCGGTTAGTAGTCTTCTGTATCATGTCATAACTCTACTATATCCCTTATCTCCCATTGCAATGCCCCTATCTCGTCTCGTAGCGCTCCTACCTCCTCCCTGATAACTTTAGTTAGACATTCAAACAAGTTATCAGTGGAGGTACTATGATTAGGTACATGAGATCTATGGGTGATGTGTTTGGATGCACAAGAAGGTGATTTCATCGGTGGTAATGATCTCCCCGACGAAGGCGATGATCGATCAACTGGACAACGTTCCTACACAAATGAGAATATTACAAATTAATAACTTAATTAAAATATTACAACACAAAATGTCCCATTTCAATCGAAGACGGACTTAGGCATCTGGTCGTCTTGAGCAAACATAATGGATAATTCACTCACACCTCCTCCGTCGACACTGTTAACTCAGTAAGGACTTCAAGCTAACATATTGACATTTCAACAATTTAGTGATTATGTATTGAGATTTTGAAATGACAAATAATATAAATCGCAAATGTATAATCTCAACTCAAGATCGTTGATGAAAACTAATAATTGTTTAGCAAGTGGCCTGTCTTGTGCTTGGCAATGACACATCCATAGGCAACAGTTTCCCTTCTCCTCACATACCAGCCAGCCAAGATGGGACAGACTCATATACCTATATCTACATCACTTATAATTATTATATACAAATTTAATAAAAAAAAATTTAACGTACATTATGTTAAATATTTAACTGCAATGCCAAGCCATATGCATCATACTTCTACTCGAGCTTTATCCTCCTTGGACATCAAATGCCCCTCCTAAAGACACGTAAAGTATCCTCATAGCATTTTCGCCCATGGATAGTTGTTGAAGGCATCGATAACATTAAAAGCTTCAAAATGGAAAAGTCAATCGATATCTTTTTTGTAATGACACCTCAGTACGCTCTCAAGGATGAGTACTGAGCCCCACTTCAACTTGTCGAGCATCTGGTCGCATGCCCTAAATGCATCCCCTAACTGTGCCAGTTTACTATCATTTGTCAATGAAAATATTTGTACAACAGCTCCATATTTTTAGGAATACGAGCCCTCGTTACTGTTTAACTCATACATTTCAGTCCAGTGACAATGGTAAAAAACAAGGGCCATATGCAAGAATGGCGTAGCCTGTCTGCGTGCTCATCATCGAGCAACTCCAATACCGTCATAAAATTGGTAAAGCTACAATTCGACGTAACTTTGTCGATAATCTGTCTCATTGCATCCTACAAAATTTCAAACGTTAGAACCTTGTACAAGAGAGATAATAGAATAAAGTATAATATCAATAAATTAAACTAACAAATTTGTAACTACTATACGGAAGAAATTAATTCATTTTATATGGCATGCTAATAAAAAATAAATTATATAAAAAGAACAAAAAAAATACAAAAAGAGTTAAAAAAAAGGGGGGGATTGAAAAGAGAATAACTAAAAAAGGATTCAAATTATAAATAAAAACAAAAATAAGAATTAAAGATAAAAATATAAAGGGAAAATAATTAAATAGAAAGAAAAATTAAATTAAAGGAAATTATTAAAAAAAATTAAAAATTAAAGAAAGTATATTAAAAAGTGTTGAATATTGAAAAAAAAAATAAGATTTTTTTTTTAAAAAAATACATAAATAATTAATTAAAAAACTGGGCCATCTTAAAAAAGACGACCCAGATGTCGGCATTTGTCCATTTGAAAGGACGCCCGTGGGGCCTTCTTCTCCAACGGAGATCGCCATTTTCGACGATCTCCTCCCCTAAAGACCTCAATTTGTCAACCAACTTCCCCTACATCCATCACTCAACCTAAATAAGTGTATATTAAACTCTAAAACATGTGAATCATCCCGAATATAATTAGGGATATCAACGAAAAGAGTTGAGTCGGCTCATAAGTCGAAATTCGAGGCTCGAATAAAATGAGCGAACTTTTTTTTAGGCCCAAGCTGAGCTTTTTTCTCGGCCAAAAAAATTAAACTCATCACAAGATTTCGGCTCGAGCCTTTTCGAGACTGCCCCTTTTTTAATGTAGCAGTCTGTTGCCTTTAAAATATATATATATAGGCTTGTGAACTCGAGTCGGTGAACCCAAAATGGGGCTCGGCCTGAGCCTCGAGCCGAACCGGCTCAGACTTTTTCCAGGCCAAGCCACGAACAATCCGAGCCAACGAGCCTGATTGTCATTCCTAACTATAATACAAAAATTCAATTCATTTCCATTACCATTACTTAACTGTAAACTAAGGTTTGATACACAAAGCTAACCTTGTTGATGATCTATCGATGTGTGTTACCATCTACTATAGTTTGGATTGATCGATGTGTGTTTGGTAACGAATCACCTCAAAGGGTCTCTCTCTCTCTCTAAGGGTGTTCAAGCCCTTTTTCTGTTTATTTAAATTCTCAGCTTTTTATCTTTCAAATTTTTGCATTTATTTTTTATTTTATTTATTTATTATTATTAGTTTTTTTGTCCCTTTAGAAAAATGATCAAAGGCACCATTTCCTCGTTAAAGGTAAGTCTACTACTTTTCTCGAAGGTTCAGGACAAATAATAAAACTCATCCTGTTTGAAAATCAAAATTTACTTGAAAGTAAAGTTTTAAGCTCACTCAAAAATGCTTAATCAGAATATCAAATCCAATTGTCCAACTTTAATACATTTTCTAGATTAAATTTCTCAATTTTCGTTGTATTGTGTCTTTATAATAATTTTTTTTTCTCAAAAAACATAATTTTAATTAGATAAAAGAAATGTCCACTCTTGAGATGTCGAGTTGATTTGATTATATAATCGCCTATTAGGAAGAACATGGACATCTGGTTCCAAGTAGAATCTCAAAAGTCAATTTTATTCATATGAGACTATCGACCATCAACAACTATCGACACATTTTCTTGGTCGAGGATGAAAGATCTCAGCCATGGCACGGTGAAAACACCTACTTTGAATTCATCCCAAGTGTCAAGCGTAACAGACTGATAATATGACTGTTCGAGTTTTCAAATCGTCCACACTAACAACCCATCTTATAGAACAGGCAACACTAACAGGATCAGAGGAAAAAAAATAAAAATAAAAAAATAAAAACTATTTATGGACAGAAACCAGAAAGTTTAAACAAATCAGCATTACATTATGTTTTATATATACACATATCGGCGAGCACTATACATACAAAGAAAACAGACACTATTAACTACTAAAGAAGCCAGAGAATGATATCTAGCCATATTCGATATGCTAAAATGCACGCAACAGCCACAAGATTTTAACATTTTTCTTCGTTAATTTTGTACAATTTTGTTGAGTCACACATACCAAACATATAGTCTATATACAAGTTATCCGCCTGTCGTACCTGAAACCCAAAACAAAATATTTCACTATTCTCATAGGATCGAAAATCAAAGAAAGCCACAAAATCTAAAATTCCTCAATGGCGTGTCTTGTTGGGAGACTATTTAAGACTGAATACTACTAAGAAAGAAGGCAAAACTAAAATCTTATACATTATATTATTTTCGAGTCCTATTATGTAGTACGTACCAAAGAGAGAGAACAAGACGACCTGCTATGTCCAGTTCCTTTTTGAGCGAAGCTGAGTGAGCTTGTCCCTCCACAGAGCTGCAGTACAACACCAGAAGGTTACATTCAAAATCATTGAGAAGCTTTTTTACTTCTTGTAATCTTCAGAAAATAGTATTTAGTTTCTGTGTAAAAGGTTCCAAAAAAAAAAAAAAAAGGGGGCTCTGGCAGAAGCTAGAAACTCGGAATCTTGAATTCCAAACCCTCGAATATGTTCAAAGATGATCTTGTTCTGGGACTGAGCTTGGAGTCTTCTTAGGAGTGGAGTTTGGCTTGCCCCTCTCAATCTTTCCCATTATATGTGCATGTTTGAAAAGCTTAAATTATAATTTAAGTTGGTCAAACATACTTTTTATCTATACATTTTGCATGACCCAAGTTTATCACTTAAAAAGTACTACCAGATATTAACGTGCTTACATATGCTTAGCTACTATGAAATGGGATTCGAGCTATTTAAATTTTTTAGTGTTACTCGCAACCATTTAAGTAATGAACAAACTCAATGTCAGCTGGCTTTCTAGGCAGAAGTTTAATAGTGTCTTTAAAAACAAATATACTTGAACAACAACAGTTACTGACTTGTAAAATGATGTCCTAGACATATAGTTAGATAGAATACCTGCATCCTTGTAACGTTCCTCGACTGCAGCTATTAGCATGTTGCGCACAAGATTAAACTCCTTTGTTTCAATGGACAGCTGGGCACTAGGTCTGTATCAATAACAAAGTAGTTAGACTATACTGATATTATCTAAGGCATGGGTTAACAATCAGGTAAAGATGACAGTTCCATTAGTTACCACTCGAGAAATTAAGAAATAGGTCATTAATTCATAAGATAAACAAATTTCTTTATTAAAGATTTTCCATATCTTTTCCCCTTCAGGTGTTAATTAGCCATGGAAAATACTCCATAAATGCACTCTCTCAAATGACAATAAGAACATACGAGTACTAGCAGTTCTTTTGGACTAACCGAATTTCGTATCTAAACACTCAAAGAAAATGCATCTTTTGCAACAAAAACATGAAAAAGGTAGCCGATAAACCACAACAAAAAGAGGTCACTGGGGATATCTAATCTACCTGTCCAACTCAGTAAATAATAAGCCATCTGATGAGGAGCTATGTACTGGCACTTTTTCAGGTTCAATAACCTTCATACCGTCCATATACACCAAGTATTTGTTCACTTGGATTGGCACCTAAAAATTTAAGAAACAGTATAAAATATCATTGATTTTAGGAAACCATACATTGAAAAAGCAAAAGCAAGATGCATTATTCGATCCAACTCATGGTAATTGGTTCAATCTAGACAGGGCATGTACTATAGCTGCCAAGGCTAAGTCCAGGTGAAAATGAAAAAATGCCCATTACAAACATATAAAATCATCATAAATAAACTGTTCAAGACGATTGTACAACTAGACAGACAGAGGAAAAAAACACCATAAAATTTTATTTATTTTCGTAGCAAATGCACCCTTATTGGTATTCATATATATTTGAAATGATATTATGATGATACTGCAACTGTAAATGCAGTATAGTACACTTTTTGGTCATAAATCCTCAATATAGTGTGCCCCAGTTTGAAAGCAATGTTTTAAAGGTCCACAATTTCTAAGTTTTCACAATTCAGTTTCGATCTAATTTTTCACAATTCAGTTTCGATCTAATTTTTCACAATTCAGTTTCAACAACTGTCTTTCTTCCAAAACACCATTACTTCGCGTGGTGCAATGTGACAATTTATTATGTTTTAACATTTGTAATGGCAACAAAAACAACATTTTAAACTCCAAATGCATAAAAAAAGAATGAAAGAAAAAATTGTTGAAGACAAAAGGTTAAAGTAAATAATTCATCTTCTCTCTGAGTGCTTTTAGACAAAAGGATTCAATATAAGATCAGAGACAATAAAGATCCAGATTCAAGGCTAGCTGCCATCCATTTATGAAAATTGAACACTTATAAGACCTTCAATAAAATTTGAATCTGGTCTATTTGTAAGGAGCATGTTGAAGACAAATTTAGGTACAGAAATTTGTCTCCGGAATTACCTTGCATCTAACCGCAATGTTAATGGCATCTGACGGTCGCAGATCAAATCTGATACACTCTGCTTCATTATCCAACTGCAATCAGGATGATTATCACGTCAGAAAATATAAATATGTCACAGAAGTCGGAAATTTCTACATTTTATTCAATCCTGGAAACAATAACAATTTACTTTACCTTTGTAAGGTGTAACTCTGCAAAATATGCCTCATGTATTCTCTTGGTAACTCGTACAAGTTTCACCTAAAAAAAAGAAGAGAACTAATAAATGACAGAAAAAGTAGAAATAATTCCTATAGGGTAAGCAAGCAAAGAACAAAAATTTGACCATTGAAGAAATAACTGAATAAACTCACTGTATAGCCCATCTTCTCAATCATTTCCTTTGCCACTTGATACATGGTAGGCCTAGCCTAAAAGGCAATCCAGAAAATTATCTTTTAAAATTAAAATACACAAGTAACTTTAAGCATGTGTGGCTAAGCTTAAAAAGTTTGATTCTACTAAGTTTACTTATTAGAAAACAGGTGATGTTTCATAGAACAAAACTAGAAATTAGTAAATTACTTATTTTTACAATAAGTTTAGAGAGTTATATTTTAAATAAGTTATGACAAGAAGTAACTTATTTGAACATTTTGTAAACAAAAGGATGAAACATACAATTTGGACATTGCGTACAGCTGCCATTAGCAGCACACTGGGCATCTCCACTGTTAAAAAGACAATTGAATCAAGAATGAAGCAATATTAACTCACACTCATTAAGGAATGTTGCATATAGAAAGTAATGATAATATTAAAGATGAACATACAAACAATTATGGGGAGAAGAAGCCCGGTCCCGTCTTCCATCTTCAATACAATTGCAGGGTGCGGAGCATAATCTGGCCGATGACTCCCTTGGGGGTTATTATGGGCACATCTCAAATGCCGGCCATCTCTCATCTTGATCATGAAACCATCTGGGCCACTTCTGACCTCAACTATTCAAAACAATGGCATTGAACTAAATTTTAATTGGAATGCTCTCCACATGCGGTTTTATGTGTAGAAACACGTGGATTATTGTTTAGTACTTATATAAATGAAATTAGGTATACATTATTCAATAAGATCTGAAAGCATTATATAATAGACTCAAGTGGCATTATATCAACAAGTTATTGGGTGAAATTCCACAATGATTTGTAACATGAATTATGTAACAGACCGCAACATGAATTATTATAATTTCTACTGATCAACAAACATTATATCAACAAGCAACATAAATTATGTAACAGACGGCAAGGTATCCACAATGATTTGTGGAAACAAAGCATCTACATGTAGAAATTCCATATAACTCAACAAAAATTTAAGATTCTTTTGATTATCACTTACGTTGTAGTATGCACTCACATACACTGAATTAGGAGAAAACAAGTGTTTGAACAATCCACATACCAGCTTCAACAACGCTCGAATTCACATAATCAGACTCATTCTCATTTGAATTCCCGGCCATACTATCATTTCCATTCCACGACGAACTAAAAGTACATCGTATAGTCTTGCATTTCTGCAAATTTTGTCGATAATTTACATTAGCCCTACCGTTGCCGATTCCTACAAGCCCCCAAAACCCACTTCTAATAACTTTGGCTTTCAGTAGAGGTGAACTAATCGGGACAGAATACACTCCGGATTGCTTCGCATTGATCATGGGGCAAACTACGGGCCCTTGAAGAGAAGCCATCTTCAATCCTCTAAATACATAAAATTAAAAAATTACGATCAAAAGACTAAAAATTGCTCACATAATCTACAACCAAAAATAAATAAATAAATAATTAATTAATTAAAAAAGAAAAAAGAAAAAAGAAAATTCAGAAACCAGAATAAGCATATGCAGAAGAAATAATCTTGCAAAAAATCTTCACAACGTCCCATTTAAAAAACACAACTTCGAATATTAAAGTTCTTTTCTCTTCTCTTGCCCCACCTGTACTTTTAAAATTTTTAATTTAAACAGTACGTTGTCCAATACCACTACATAAAGAAATCCGTAATTACTCCTCTTCAATATACGGATTTGCAGACAAAGGTCAAAATTTTTAACCTTCTTTGTTAAAGAAACAATAATCTCAATAACTTAATTCCAGATCATACTAAAATAAAACATACAATTCAGCTGAGATATCATTCAGTTAGTAAAAAAAAAAAAAAAAAAGCAATTACTTCCAATTGAGCTTATTTAATCTTTGATGACCGTTTTATGTTTCAAATCAACTATTAGAATGTTGTAATTAGGTCCTCCATACTTTGTTTCCCGCTAATTCAAATTTGAATAATCTTCGGTTTGATTTTAAAACTTGTAATTGCTTCCAATTGAACTTATTTAATCTCCGATCAATGTTTTATATTTAAAATCAACTGTTAGAAAGTTTCAAATCAAGTCCCCATACTTTGTTTCCTACCATTTCACATTTGAAAAAATCTTCTTGTTCGATTTTTGAACTTGCAATTGCTTCCAATTGAGCACATTTGATCTTTTATCACCATTTTATGTTATGAATCAACTATTAGAAAGTTGTAATTAGGTCCCCATACTTTGTTTCTCACCATTTCACATTCAAATAATCTTTCGTTCGATTTTTAAACTTGTAATTGCTTCTAATTGAGCCTATTTGATCTTCAATCACCGTTTTACGTTTTGAATCAACTATAAAAAGTTGCAATTAGGTCCCAATACTTTGTTTCCTACCATTTCGCTTTCAAATAATACCCCATTCGATTTTAAAACTTGCAATTGCTTCCAATTGAACATATTTGATCTTCGACACCGTTTTATGTTCTGAATCAATTATAAAAAGATTGTAAATAAGTTCCCCTACTTTGTTTCCTATCATTTCACATTTGAATAACCTTCCATTTGATTTTGAAACTTGCAATTGCTTCCAATTGAGCTTATTTGATCTTCGATCACCATTTTATGTTCCAAATAAACTATTAAAAAGTTACAATTATGTTCCTATACTTTGTTTCCCGTCATTTCACATTCGAATAATCTTTTGTTTGATTTTCAAACTTGCAATTGCTTCCAATTGAACATATTTGATCTTCAATCGCCATTTATGTTTCGAATCAACTATTAAAAGTTACAATTAGACCCCCGTACTTTATTTCTTGCCATTTCATATTCGAATAATTCTCTATTTGATTTTTAAACTTGCAATTGTTTCCAATCAAGCCTATTTGATGTTCAATCATCGTTTTTCTAGAAAGCGATAATTAGGTTCTCGTACTTTGTTTCCCATCATTTCACAGGTAAATAATCTTTCGTCGACCACTTTCTCCACCACCCCCTTCGGTACCACAGCCTTCACATCTTCTACCACCTTTTCTGGTATCCCCTCTATCACTTCCTCGGCTATTCCAACAGTCACCAGCTCCATTACTCCTTTCGTCCCAGCCACCATTATATCCTCTGTTACACCCTTTTTGTCCTGGGCACTGTAACATCTTAGGTCGGCCCTATGATTACTAGCTCCATAACTATCAGGTCTCTCCCTCCATCCTGAACATTACCAACCCTTTCCTCCTAGGCACTATACGATCCTCCATCTAGGACATCATCGTGGCCATCCCCTTCCAGAAATATAAAAAAAGATTCGAATGTAGAGTCCGATGGCTATGATGAATCATCATACCCTATGTGATCCTCTCCTTTGGTACCTTCGCTATTCTCTCAGTCCCCGAGGACCACCAGTCTCTCCAACACTTGCACTGCTTATCCCTCTATCACCCCCTCATAGCGCTGTGGCCTCATTATGAAAGTTTCCTAAATCGGTTAGTAGTCTTCTGTATCATGTCATAACTCTACTATATCCCTTATCTCCCATTGCAATGCCCCTATCTCGTCTCGTAGCGCTCCTACCTCCTCCCTGATAACTTTAGTTAGACATTCAAACAAGTTATCAGTGGAGGTACTATGATTAGGTACATGAGATCTATGGGTGATGTGTTTGGATGCACAAGAAGGTGATCTCATCGGTGGTAATGATCTCCTCGACGAAGGCGATGATCGATCAACTGGACAACGTTCCTACACAAATGAGAATATTACAAATTAATAACTTAATTAAAATATTACAACACAAAATGTCCCATTTCAATCGAAGACGGACTTAGGCATCTGGTCGTCTTGAGCAAACATAATGGATAATTCACTCACACCTCCTCCGTCGACACTGTTAACTCAGTAAGGACTTCAAGCTAACATATTGACATTTCAACAATTTAGTGATTATGTATTGAGATTTTGAAATGACAAATAATATAAATCGCAAATGTATAATCTCAACTCAAGATCGTTGATGAAAACTAATAATTGTTTAGCAAGTGGCCTGTCTTGTGCTTGGCAATGACACATCCATAGGCAACAGCTTCCCTTCTCCTCACATACCAGCCAGCCAAGATGGGACAGACTCATATACCTATATCTACATCACTTATAATTATTATATACAAATTTAATAAAAAAAAATTTAACGTACATTATGTTAAATATTTAACTGCAATGCCAAGCCATATGCATCATACTTCTACTCGAGCTTTATCCTCCTTGGACATCAAATGCCCCTCCTAAAGACACGTAAAGTATCCTCATAGCATTTTCGCCCATGGATAGTTGTTGAAGGCATCGATAACATTAAAAGCTTCAAAATGGAAAAGTCAATCGATATCTTTTTTGTAATGACACCTCAGTACGCTCTCAAGGATGAGTACTGAGCCCCACTTCAACTTGTCGAGCATCTGGTCGCATGCCCTAAATGCATCCCCTAACTGTGCCAGTTTACTATCATTTGTCAATGAAAATATTTGTACAACAGCTCCATATTTTTAGGAATACGAGCCCTCGTTACTGTTTAACTCATACATTTCAGTCCAGTGACAATGGTAAAAAACAAGGGCCATATGCAAGAATGGCGTAGCCTGTCTGCGTGCTCATCATCGAGCAACTCCAATACCGTCATAAAATTGGTAAAGCTACAATTCGACGTAACTTTGTCGATAATCTGTCTCATTGCATCCTACAAAATTTCAAACGTTAGAACCTTGTACAAGAGAGATAATAGAATAAAGTATAATATCAATAAATTAAACTAACAAATTTGTAACTACTATACGGAAGAAATTAATTCATTTTATATGGCATGCTAATAAAAAATAAATTATATAAAAAGAACAAAAAAAATACAAAAAGAGTTAAAAAAAAGGGGGGGATTGAAAAGAGAATAACTAAAAAAGGATTCAAATTATAAATAAAAACAAAAATAAGAATTAAAGATAAAAATATAAAGGGAAAATAATTAAATAGAAAGAAAAATTAAATTAAAGGAAATTATTAAAAAAAATTAAAAATTAAAGAAAGTATATTAAAAAGTGTTGAATATTGAAAAAAAATAAGATTTTTTTTTTAAAAAAATACATAAATAATTAATTAAAAAACTGGGCCATCTTAAAAAAGACGACCCAGATGTCGGCATTTGTCCATTTGAAAGGACGCCCGTGGGGCCTTCTTCTCCAACGGAGATCGCCATTTTCGACGATCTCCTCCCCTAAAGACCTCAATTTGTCAACCAACTTCCCCTACATCCATCACTCAACCTAAATAAGTGTATATTAAACTCTAAAACATGTGAATCATCCCGAATATAATTAGGGATATCAACGAAAAGAGTTGAGTCGGCTCATAAGTCGAAATTCGAGGCTCGAATAAAATGAGCGAACTTTTTCTTAGGCCCAAGCTGAGCTTTTTTCTCGGCCAAAAAAATTAAACTCAACACAAGATTTCGGCTCGAGCCTTTTCGAGACTGCCCCTTTTTTAATGTAGCAGTCTGTTGCCTTTAAAATATATATATATAGGCTTGTGAACTCGAGTCGGTGAACCCAAAATGGGGCTCGGCCTGAGCCTCGAGCCGAACCGGCTCAGACTTTTTCCAGGCCGAGCCACGAACAATCCGAGCCAACGAGCCCGATTGTCATTCCTAACTATAATACAAAAATTCAATTCATTTCCATTACCATTACTTAACTGTAAACCAAGGTTTGATACACAAAGCTAACCTTGTTGATGATCTATCGATGTGTGTTACCATCTACTATAGTTTGGATTGATCGATGTGTGTTTGGTAACGAATCACCTCAAAGGGTCTCTCTCTCTCTCTCTCTAAGGGTGTTCAAGCCCTTTTTCTGTTTATTTAAATTCTCAGCTTTTTATCTTTCAAATTTTTGCATTTATTTTTTATTTTATTTATTTATTATTATTAGTTTTTTTGTCCCTTTAGAAAAATGATCAAAGGCACCATTTCCTCGTTAAAGGTAAGTCTACTACTTTTCTCGAAGGTTCAGGACAAATAATAAAACTCATCCTGTTTGAAAATCAAAATTTACTTGAAAGTAAAGTTTTAAGCTCACTCAAAAATGCTTAATCAGAATATAAAATCCAATTGTCCAACTTTAATACATTTTCTAGATTAAATTTCTCAATTTTCGTTGTATTGTGTCTTTATAATAATTTTTTTTTCTCAAAAAACATAATTTTAATTAGATAAAAGGAATGTCCAGTCTTGCGATGTCGAGTGGATTTGATTATATAATCGCCCATTAGGAAAAACATGGACATCTGGTTCCAAGTAGAATCTCAAAAGTCAATTTTATTCATATGAGACTATCGACACATTTTCTTGGTCGAGGATGAAAGATCTCAGCCATGGCACAGTGAAAACACATACTTTGAATTCATCCCGAGTTTCAAGCGTAATAGACTGATAATATGACTGTTCAAGTTTTCAAATCGTCCACACTAACAACCCATCTTATAGAACAGGGCAACACTAACAGGATCAGAGGAAAAAAAATAAAAACTATTTATGGACAGAAACCAGAAAGTTTAAACAAATCAGCATTACATTATGTTTTATATATACACATATCGGCGAGCACTATACATACAAAGGAAACAGACACTATTAACTACTAAAGAAGCCAGAGAATGATATCTAGCCATATTCGATATGCTAAAATGCACGCGACAGCCACAAGATTTTAACATTTTTCTTCGTTAATTTTGTACAATTTTGTCGAGTCACACATACCAAACATATAGTCTATATACAAGTTATCCGCTTGTCGTACCTGAAACCCAAAACAAAATATTTCACTATTCTCATAGGATCGAAAATCAAAGAAAGCCACAAAATCTAAAATTCCTCAATGGCGTGTCTTGTTGGGAGACTATTTAAGACTGAATACTATTAAGAAAGAAGGCAAAACTAAAATCTTATACATTATATTATTTTCGAGTCCTATTATGTAGTACGTACCAAAGAGAGAGAACAAGACGACCTGCTATGTCCAGTTCCTTTTTGAGCGAAGCTGAGTGAGCTTGTCCCTCCACAGAGCTGCAGTACAACACCAGAAGGTTACATTCAAAATCATTGAGAAGCCTTTTCACTTCTTGTAATCTTCAGAAAATACTATTTAGTTTCTGTGTAAAAGCTTCCAAAAAAAAAAAAGGGCTCTGGCAGAAGCTAGAAACTCGGAATCTTGAATTCCAAACCCTCGAATATGTTCAAAGATGATCTTGTTCTGGGACTGAGCTTGGAATCTTCTTAGGAGTGGAGTTTGGCTTGCCCCTCTCAATCTTTCCCATTCTATGTGCATGTTTGAAAAGCTTAAATTATAATTTAAGTTGGTCAAACATACTTTTTATATATACATTTTGCATGACCCAAGTTTATCACTTAAAAAGTACTACCAGACATTAACGTGCTTACATATGCTTAGCTACTATGAAATGGGATTCAAGCTATTTAAATTTTTTAGTGTTACTCGCAACCATTTAAGTAGTGAACAAACTCAATGTCAGCTGGCTTTCTAGGCAGAAGTTTAATAGTGTCTTTAAAAATAAATATACTTGAACAACAACAGTTACTGACTTGTAAAATGATGTCCTAGACATATAGTTAGATAGAATACCTGCATCCTTGTAACGTTCCTCGACTGCAGCTATTAGCATGTTGCGCACAAGATTAAACTCCTTTGTTTCAATGGACAGCTGGGCACTAGGTCTGTATCAATAACAAAGTAGTTAGACTTTACTGATATTATCTAAGGCATGGGTTAACAATCAGGTAAAGATGACAGTTCCATTAGTTACCACTCGCGAAATTAAGAAATAGGCCATTAATTCATAAGATAAACAAATTTCTTTATTAAACATTTTCCATATCTTTTCCCCTTCAGGTGTTAATTAGCCATGGAAAATACTCCATAAATGCACTCTCTCAAATGACAATAAGACCATACGAGTACTAGCAGTTCTTTTGGACTAACCGAATTTCTTATCTAAACACTCAAAGAAAATGCATCTTTTGCAACAAAAACATGAAAAAGGTAGCCGATAAACCACAACAAAAAGAGGTCACTGGGGATATCTAATCTACCTGTCCAACTCAGTAAATAATAAGCCATCTGATGAGGAGCTATGTACTGGCACTTTTTCAGGTTCAATAACCTTCATACCGTCCATATACACCAAGTATTTGTTCACTTGGATTGGCACCTAAAAATTTAAGAAACAGTATAAAATATCATTGATTTTAGGAAACCATACATTGAAAAAGCAAAAGCAAGATGCATTATTCGATCCAACTCATGGTAATTGGTTCAATCTAGACAGGGCATGTACTATAGCTGCCAAGGCTAAGTCCTGGTGAAAATGAAAAAATGCCCGTTACAAACATATAAAATCATCATAAATAAACTGTTCCAAGAAGATTGTACAACTAGACAGACAGAGGAAAAAAAACCATAAAATTTTATTTATTTACGTAGCAAATGCACCCTTATTGGTATTCATATTTATTTGAAATGATATTATGATGATACTGCAACTGTAAATGTAGTATAGTACACTTTTTGGTCATAAATCCTCAATATAGTGTGCCCCAGTTTGAAAGCAATGTTTTAAAGGTCCACAATTTCTAAGTTTTGATCTAATTTTTCACAATTCAGTTTCAACAACTGTCTTTCTTCCAAAACACCATTACTTCGCGTGGTGCAATGCGACACAATTTATTATGTTTTAACATTTGTAATGGCAACAAAAATAACATTTTAAACTCCAAATGCATAAAAAAAGAATGAAAGAAAAAATTGTTGAAGACAAAACGTTAAAGTAAATAATTCATCTTCTCTCTGAGTGCTTTTAGACAAAAGGATTCAATATAAGATCAGAGACAATAAAGATCCAGATTCAAGGCTAGCTGCCATCCATTTATGAAAATTGTACACTTGTAAGACCTTCAATAAAATTTGAATCTGGTCTATTCGTAAGGAGCACGTTGAAGACAAATTTAGGTATAGAAATTTGACTCCGGAATTACCTTGCATCTAACTGCAATGTTAATGGCATCTGACGGTCGCAGATCAAATCTGATACACTCTGCTTCATTATCCAGCTTCAATCAGGATGAATATCACGTCAGAAAATATAATATGTCACAGAAGTCGGAAATTTCTACATTTTGTCAATCCTGGAAACAATAACAATTTACTTTACCTTTGTAAGGTGTAATTCTGCAAAATATGCCTCATGTATTCTCTTGGTAACTCGTACAAGTTTCACCTAAAAGAAAAAAAAAAGAAGAGAACTAATAAATAACAGAAAAGTAGAAATAATTCCTATAGTGTAAGCAAGCAAAGAACAAAAATTTGACCATTGAAGAGATAACGGAATAAACTCACTGTATAGCCCATCTTCTCAATCATTTCCTTTGCCACTTGATACATGGTAGGCCTAGCCTAAAAGGCAATCCAGAAAATTATCTTTTAAAAATAAAATACACAAGTAACTTTAAGCATGTTTGGCTAAGCTTAAAAGGTTTGATTGTAATAAGTTTACTTATTAGAAAACAGGTAATGTTTTATAGAACAAAACTAGCAATTAGTAAATTACTTATTTTTACAATAAGTTAGAGAGTTACTTTTATATAAGTTATGACAAGAAGTAACTTATTTGAACATTTTGTAAACAAAAGGATGAAACATACAATTTGGACATTGCGTACAGCAGCCATTAGCAGCACACTGGGCATCTCCACTGTGAAAAAGACAATTGAATCAAGAATGAACCAATAATAAGAGTCAATATTATTTCACACTCATTAAGGAATATTGCATATAGAAAGTAATCATAATATTAAAGATGAACATACAAACAATTATGGGGAGAAGAAGCCCGGTCCCGTCTTCCATCTTCAATACAATTGCAGGGTGCGGAGCATAATCTGACCGATGACTCCCTTGGGGGTTATTATGGGCACATCTCAAATGCCGGCCATCTCTCATCTTGATCATGAAACCATCTGGGCCACTTCTGACTTCAACTATTCAAAACAATGGCATAGAACTAAATTTTAATTGGAATGCTCTCCACATGCGGTTTTGTGTGTAGAAACACGTGGATTATTGTTTAGTACTTTTACAAATGCAGTTAGGTATACATTATTCAATAAGATTAGCAAGCATTATTTAATAGACTCAAGTGGCATTATATCAACAAGCTATTGGGTGAAATTTCACAATGATTTGTAACATGAATTATGTAACAGACAGCAACATGAATTATTATAAGTTCTACTGATCAACAAACATTATATCAACAAGCAACATGAATTATGTAACAGACGGCAAGGTATCCACAATGATTTGTGGAAGCAAAGCATCTACATGTAGAAATTTTATATAACTCAACAAAAAATTAAGATTCTTTTGATTATCACTTACATTGTAGTATGCACTCACATACACTGAATTAGGAGTAAACAAGTGTATGAACAATCCACATACCAGCTTCAACAACGCTCGAATTCACATAATCAGATTCATTCTCATTTGAATTCCCGGCCCTACTATCATTTCCATTCCACGACGAACTAAAAGTACATCGTATAGTCTTGCATTTCTGCAAATTTTGTCGATAATTTACATTAGTCCTACCGTTGCCGATTCCTACAAGCCCCCAAAACCCACTTCTAATAACTTTGGCTTTCAGTAGAGGTGAACTAATCGGGACAGAATACACTCCGGATTGCTTCGCATTGATCATGGGGCAAACTACGGGCCCTTGAAGAGAAGCCATCTTCAATCCTCTAAATACATAAAATTAAAAAATTACGATCAAAAGACTAAAAATTGCTCACATAATCTACAACCAAAAATAAATAAATAAATAATTAATTAATTAAAAAAGAAAAAAGAAAAAAGAAAATTCAGAAACCAGAATAAGCATATGCAGAAGAAATAATCTTGCAAAAAATCTTCACAACGTCCCATTTAAAAAACACAACTTCGAATATTAAAGTTCTTTTCTCTTCTCTTGCCCCACCTGTACTTTTAAAATTTTTAATTTAAACAGTACGTTGTCCAATACCACTACATAAAGAAATCCGTAATTACTCCTCTTCAATATACGGATTTGCAGACAAAGGTCAAAATTTTTAACCTTCTTCGTTAAAGAAACAATAATCTCAATAACTTAATTCCAGATCATACTAAAATAAAACATACAATTCAGCTGAGATATCATTCAGTTAGTAAAAAAAAAAAAAAAAAAACCCTTTTTTTGGGTCAAGTTGTCCTTTTTATCTTTATAATCCGAAATTTAAAAATTAATATAGAAGTCAATTTTATATACATAATCAAACCTGTAGAAAGCTCTCAATCTTCTTCAACAATCAAGAACTTTTAGGCACCACTAGTGGCCTTAAACGCCTAGAGAAAATCTGGGACTTTTTTTTCTTCTCAGAGGAATTTATGGTACTTTTATGAGATCAATTAATGAAACAAAAACATATATCCAGTTTACTGAAGAAGATGAAGAGATGGGGTGGTAGAGTTTTGAATAGTTAACGACCGACAAGTGGACTGTAGACTGGATAAAGGGAACGACAAATGCTGAAGTGGGAAGAAAGAATAAGAAGATAAGAGATTCTTTTGGAGAGAGCAAGGTCATTGTTTGGCTAAGTTTGAACAATTTTACTTATGTATAAGTTATTTTACATATTTTAAAATAAATATCATTTGTTCACCAAGTCTAAGTTAAAGATGAATTATGCTACACAAACATGGATAGTGATAGCTTTGATGACAAGGATGACACATATCGATCCCTTATTGGATAGTTTGAAAAAAAATTAAACCCCAACAGATGCTGACACGCAGATGTCCGTCATTTCTCTCCTATCATCAACCTTGTCCTAGTATCTTTACTCAACTGAATTACTTAAATGATCACTGAATTTTGTAAAAAAATTTCACAGGATCACTGAACTTTACAAATCATCCAATTCATAATTGAACTTTACAAAGGATTTTCGTGGAAACACTGAACTTTAAAAATCACATAATTCATCATTGAATTTTGCAAAATTTTTTCCAGAAATCACTAAATTTAGAACCTATGGGACATTTTTTTGCAAAGTTCAGCGGTCATTTGGGTAATTCACTCATCTTTACTCAAGATATTGAGAGTCAGATTGTTAGATTTCCATATTTTGAATTAATAGATTTTGAAATAATAATTTTTTAAGGAATGAGATGTCAAAATGTCATAAAAATTATTTTATTTGGAGAATTTGTTATTAAAAATAATTTTTTGGGGATAAAAGGGGCTCAAATGGGGACATAATATTCATAAACAAGGAGGATTCCAATCCTTGGTACATTTTGGCGGTACTCGATTAATTAGTAACCACTAACAACAAGAGTCAAACTTATAGATAGCAGGATATAGATTTTATGTTGAACCGAGGAATTTAGTGTGGAAATAGTATTAAGAGTGCTCACCATTCAATTGAATCCAAATTCTCCATTTGGTAAGAATTATATACGATTTAATTGATAAGTAGATAAAAGTAAGTGATTCAAAAATGGATAATACATGTAATTACATTGAAGTATGTAATTGAAAATGAAGAACACATTATATATAATCAAACAGTGACTAGATTCAAAACTGGCCCTGGTATAATGCTAAAATATCAATTTTGGAACATACAATATAAATGTATAGAATCAATCAAAATATTTAATGAGTTGTAATGTACTGATAAAATAATTTTATTGAAACATGATGACTCGATCTATTTTTCAATAAATTATATAATTAACAAAATACACGTCTCTCATATTTTCCATGTGGGTAAAGATGAGCACAAATTATTTATTTGAAAAACATATATATGAAGAAGAGTTGGTCACTTATTACTAAGTTTAATTATATAAAAAAATGGTCCATTTAACCATTTAAGCTTTGGGTCATGCTACAAAGTCAGAAAAAAAAATGCTAGAAGCCCTTATCTATACTCACAGCTCGGTGGGGGCCACTTTTTTTTTATTTGAAATTGTTTATTCACGTCAGGCCCGCACACTGTGAGTGTGGGCAGGGCCGGTCCTGGGCTGAGGCATTTGAGGCCTCAGCCTCAGGCCCAAAACCCTTAGGGGGCCCAATTTTGCTTCAAATTTATTTATTTATTTATTTATTTATTTATTTTTTTGGGGGATAGTTTTGGATTTTGGATGTTATTTTAAGTTTGTATTGTTTTCGTAAACTTGTAATGCTCAAATTTTTGCGTACATAATTGAAAATGTTATTAGATTTTTACGTAAATTTTTACGTTGATTTCGTCCGAGGGCCCAATTTACGGACCTCGCCTCGGGCCTCCATTATCACAGGACCGGCCCTGAGTGTGGGTAAGGGCTTCTGTTAGTTTTCCTCTGGCTGGGAGGCTTATTCCTTAACCTTTTCTTGTCCATTATTACAATTTTTTCCCTCTTAACAGAATATTACTATTTGAGCAAAACCTTGATATGAGATTTTGACTAGAGGATTGCCAATGCATTTTTAGTTAGTATTTAGCCCTTATTTGATCCCCAATTTTCCAAAAATTAAAATGGGTGGAATAGTATTTTTTTGGAGAATGAGTGGTTGAAAAAAAAATCAATTTATTTGCAATATTATTTTATAAAAATTTGTGTGATTGAAAGTAGAACAGAGAAAAATGAAAATATAATTTAATGGAGACCAAACGGGACTTAGCTTGGTGGTGACTTTTTTTTTTTTTTTTTTTCCCCCCTTTTAATTTTAAGTTAAAGTAAGAAAATCAAATCCTATTATGATCCAAGTGCCACCAATGCATATATTATCACATAAGTCATTAAAATAACTAAAAAAATGAGAGAATTTATTAGCAAAATTATAAGTTTTATCCCCAATAATTTTAATTCGTGTCTAAACTTTAAAATAAATCTTCTAAAAGAATACTTGAATAAATGAAGAAAATGTTAGGAAAATACTAAAAGAAAATTAGAAATACTCTTGAAATCATTTAAATAAAATAATGGAAAGAAAACATTGTAATAAATATGGAAAAATGGTTGTTGATATAGTAACGGTATTAAAAGGAAGCGAGGTTTGTTTTGTACATAATTTCCTTAAAATAATTCGTCCTTCACTGCAGGGGCGGATGCAGACATTTTACATTAAGGGATCACAATCAAACATTTAAAAAAAGTGATGAATTATTACTTTATGTGGGTTATAAATTGTTATACTACTTTTCATTTTGATCATTTTTACATCTAAAAATTTTTTATATATAAAAAAAATCAATCATTTTGAGGATTTTTTTTTTTATATTGTTGTTACTTTTTCCTCTCAATCAATTATTATTTTTTTAAATAATCTAATAAATTTCCTAATAATAATTTTGACGTCGTTTAAAAAAAATTAATTTATCGAGAGGAAAAGGTAACAATAAGAAAAAAATCCTAAAAATGATTGAATTTTTTTTATATATAAATTTTTTCAGATATAAAAATAATCAAGATGAAAAGGTAGTATAACAATTTATAACTCCTATAAAGTAATAAAAATTTTATTAAGAATTTATATTGAGAAATTTTTTGCGCAAAAATAATAAACATATAAATGACAATATTTATACTTACATTTTTTTATTTGCATAAATATATCACAACCATAGCTTTTTCTCTCTATAACTAATTTGACCATTTATCTTCCCAACATTCCTTTTATTTTTCTAGACCAAACAAAAAGTCTTTTTTGTCTGTTCAAATTCCACTCCAACAATCACTCGCCATTATTTTTTTAAACCCAACATAAAGTTAATTCTCTCTTTGAATTAAACTTTTGAAGATGCAATTTAGCAAATGGGTCTTCAGTTTAATAAACTGTCATTGCCTTGTAGGTCCCTTTCTTCTTTATTTTCAGATACATGACAGAATACATAGGCTGTTATCTTTAATTTCTCTTCTCATAATTATTCTTGTTTTGTAATCACAATCAATATTATTCAATGCTGCTTTAATTGTAGTCAACAGTGATTTGATGCTCGTAAGCAATCGACAAAAATGGCATGAAAATGAATGTTGTTCTTATCGTTTCTTTAAGTGAAATCTTTCACCAAGTTTTATTGTTACTCAACTAATTTATAGTTTAATCTTCTATTGATCCTTTTTTTTTCCCCCC